ATAATACAGTTACAAAAATGTTTTGTATGACATAATATCATTTCTGCATTGAAAAATGTAGTTTCAATACCAATAATGCATTTGGACTCCTCAGGGCCCAATATTTACACTACGGTCAATTTTGTATGCTCTACGCCAAGACAGACACAATAATTGTCTTCGTTCGTAATTTTTGTTTCTACGTCAAAATAATCATTGATTAAACAATGCATCAGATTAATCACTGACCAAAAGACATATTTCAGATTTTGAAAAGAAGTCAAATAAAAATATCAAGACATTTTTGAAAAACACTTCGCCCTCCTCGAGGGGAAGCCATTCAAGACGTTTAAGATAATCAACTGAAAAACTTTTTTTGTAATATGTAGGTGAACAAATAAGTTGTATCCAGTGAAAGGTCATTAGAAATGTGCTAAATAAGAAAGTGTTATCTGAGCGTGTTTAAGACGCGGATTGACATGGAGAATATGTGATGTTCTTGGTTTCAAATTATAGGCCCATATCATTGAAATCTAATTTAGACAAAGTATTCGAGAGAAAAAATACTTAATCACATTTCTTTTAATAAAAAATTTTTTTTAACAAAGCTTTCACTATCTTTGCAAACTTTCAAATCTTGCATAACTCCAGACCAACCACAATCCTCAGTTTAGTTACAGAAATCAAATATATTAGATTCATGACCTCTTTGTCAAATGCTGTAAATGTAATTTGTTTTGGTTTAAATGATTATTGATACTTATGGCAATAAACTATGTTTGAATCGATCGCTACAAGTTACTGAACGAACTGCGACAAAAGTATGTATTGAAGACGGCAAACGAAGAATGGGACTTGTCATTTTTATCCAGTTTCTTTTTATTATTTTCATTATTCATATCCCATTGCCCTGGTAAATTATGGATCTCATTTATAATCTCACTCAGATAAAGCCATTTGATATCAAATTTGTTTATAATCTAAACGTAAGAAATAAAGTTTTTAAAAGGGAAATGAAAAAATCATCAAGAATTTTAAAGTCACGAAACTCTGGAAAATGTTGACGGATTTTGTTCAATTCATCTAAGATTTTATATGTATACAGCAAACTACGAACTTGGTTAAAATATGATGGGAAAAAAATAACTCAAAGTTTTCCCATGGTAACCCTAAAACAGACAAAGAGACAGATCAAAAACAATCGCCCCACCCCTTCCCGATTTTCCCCCCAGGAGCATAAAATATATCTATTGTATCTATTGTTATATCTGTACTGTGCCTATCTATTTAATTATTAACCTGTAAGTAAATAGACATTTGACTTAATATATTAATTAAACACATGGATGAATATTTGTTTTTCACCACAATTAGCTAGTATTGTAGAGCTGAAGTATAAAGCTGGGACAATATGACTAATCAGCGGTGTTGGTTTCTACAAATGATAATGCCCTCGTGTGAAAGAAAGAAAAAAACATGCGATGACTTATTCATCTGTTTTCGGCGTGTTTGAAGATGGGTTCCAGGTTATCCTCCCTGCTATGCCTTCACACCTGCGATTTTTAATCCGTTATATCCGATATCTCACCTGGATAATCAACAGGTAATTCACGGTTACGTCACATCCAGGATATACCTGTTCAAACATCAAAGTGATTGACAGATATTTAGCACGTAATAATTATGGGTTTCATCATGTTTGTTTTGGAATTTATAGTTACTAAATTAAAACTCTGGTATTCCTTAGTTTGTTTTTGTTACAAACTTATATAATCTTACACAACGTGATCGACTGATGAGTGAGCTGATGATAAATATCCCACTTTTATTGATGTTTTCTTCAACGTGTACGATTAACATAATAAACTGCCAATCTTTATAATCACCTCAATTAAGTCAATGTTCTAGGATACAGGTGTTAGGAAACAACCGCGTAAAGTTACGTCACACAATCATGCATTTCGACCCCCTTCGGCTGTCAAGCATACCATTTAAGAGTGAAAACAAGGGCAGTAACTCTGGGAGATCAGAATGACAATCCTAGTACAACCCCTTTAAGAACTCCCCCCACCCCATCACCTTTTCTTTAAAAAATAAAAATTATTGACCACAGAATTCTAATATCCTCTATATCGCTATTTCGTTATATATTAGATATGGATAGATAGCGACAAATAATGTCTGCGTCCGTTTTTAACAATGAAGATTTGCCATGCTTATTTAGGTCACTTCAGCCGTGGATACAATGGTAAAAGAGAACAGATTTTCTATCTTAAAGTCAAGAAAAGGAAAAAAAACGATACGACAAAACTACGAAATAAGACTAACATAACCCGACCAGCGGATACACTCTAAAGTTAAAAAAAAATGAGAAAACTATTTAATTGAATCTCGTAACATCTATTATAAACAATGACTGTTAGATGGGAGATAACTCGCGATCGTTTTCCTGCCTTATAACATAAAAAGCCGCTCTGATCTAACTTTTGAAAAACACACGTCATGTATAAATCATAATCATCATCAAAACAGCAAAAAACTTTTCCTTACTATGTTTTATATTTTACATGTATCATGTATTTTATTAACATTGGTAGTAAGCCTCAATATATTAAAATTGCAGTACTTAAAGCTATTGTGAACAGTTGAGAATGTTTTTGCTGATATCAGTTATTCTTATCAAACCTGTGACCTGAAATGAGCATCTCTAAAATTCCAGGCCCCAAAACATGTCAAAATTGGAATTTCATGAAAAAAATTAATCCATATATGTACCATTCAACGTAAAAATATCACCATACCTTGTAGATCCAACATGACCTTGTGCAGTCTATGTATTTCAAAAAATATTCAGTGGACAGTAACATGCACACTCACATAAATATTTTCTCTAAATGGAATACTTGTAGCTTCCGTGTACTTTCTTGATGTTGAATAAACTCCAGATGATGAAAAGTGTGAGAAAGTCTTGCGTCCGTCATAGTGATCTCATTAAGCAATATTCTATTTCTTTGTTGGATAGGAAGGTGGAGATGTTTGATGTTCATTAGTGTCTTTGTTGGTTCCATTGTTGTAAACCTTTTCCTCATTTGAGAACGTGACATTACTTACTTCGGTTGACTAAAATTTACATGGCGGGTGTCCTTGATGAAGCAGAAGACGCTTACTCTCCAGAACACATGGTCTTATTATCTTTGTAGTGTTTAAGGGGTCTCCATTTGTAAACCTTCCTTTTGCTAATAATTTGTACTAGTTATATTGATAATTGTGTTGACTTGTTGGCATTTTCTTGATGTATTTTCCCCCGTAATTTATGGCGCTCTATAAAATTACAAATTAATGTCACTGAAGAATTTCACTTTGTATATATTTATTAAACAATAATGAGAGAGGAACTGTTCAAACCTAAGATATCATTGTTTAATTATAAAAACAACACCAACAGTTTATATAGCAGCATAAAATTTATTTCTCTATGATCTTTCCCAGATATTTATAATGAGTAAACATAATGAAACAATATCTAAAAACAAACAATAGATGGATCCTAACATGGCCTTACATTTTAATTTTACTGAAGTACTGCCACACAGATTTAAATGTTATGAAGGGACCAGAGCCATCATGCTTTTTGGTCAATATTTTGTGACACTAACCTCACCTCTTTTGATACACCAGTATCTTTATTCCTTAACTTTGATAAATTAAGATATTTTTGTATATCCTTTGTTAGTTAAAAAATGAATTTAAGGTTCTTCATGGTTAATATCTGACTTTGTGGAATTTCAATATCAGCCAAAATCCTTAACTGTACAGTATGCATTTGGCTTCTGTTACTTGATTTTCTTTTTTTGGGTCGAGAGATTTTTTTAGCGTGAAAATTTATGGGATTTCTAAATCCATATGTCCACCAAATAACAGATAAAAGTTTACACACCTTTAAGAATAAGTGAATATTATGAAAAAGATCTATCTGCAAAATCGAGTGCCAATGATAATATTTTTTGAAAACTGTGAAAATTTGAGCCTCACAAAAAGGTGATTTCACAGTAAAACTCAGCCCCATAATTAATAATTTACAACCACAACATCAAGCTTATATAACAATGTCCATGACCTGTGTAATTTGTTCTGGTATGGATACATAGGTTGGATTATAAATGAAATTTTACAGAGAATAATATCTCAGCGTCCCTGTTGCTGTATTTTACTTGCCTGTGATTTGTATTTTGTAATTTTATTTGTAAATATTACATATAATCTTCAATATGTTATCAAGAATACAATAAAGCCAATTCTTCTTCTTGTTATTTTCATTTCATGTGAGATTTATGGAAACAAATCTTACAGGTTTAAATTGCTAGCCTTAACAAGTAAAAATAAAACTTTGAGACAAGGTCAATAAAATCTTATATGAAATGAAAACAAATTCAAGATACTTCCTATCACATCAAAATGTTACATTTTGAAAGGTTTTAAAGTAAAAATGTGGAGAACAAAATGTAAGGGTGACAGCCATTATGTTGCCTCATTTTCAATTTTGGATGCAATATCATTGTCCATATTAGCATATCACCGACTGGTGCAGCCAATGTTATGTTACACAGGTGACTGATACGTAAGAACAAGGACCCAATCTCTAACAGGTAAATTTTGTGGTAATAATACATTTATATTTCAAATGCATCAAAAAAGTTTTAACTTTTTAAAATTCAGAACTTATAAATGTTTGCAGCTGTTTAAAACAAACAAAAAAACCTGTTATACATCCACTTTGAAAGACTTATCGTTAATAAACACAAAGCACTTGTTAGCTTTCACTTCAACATGAAAGGACCAAAATATAGCCATGATAAAATCAACATGTTATCACACTAATATAAAGATACAACAGTACCAAAGATTGATAAATCTTAAAGTTTGAGAATTTGGAGTTAAGGCGGTAAACCACAGACAGACAATGTCAGACATCAGACAGACAATGTCATGACCGTGTCACAAAAACAACAAGTATGCCGACACAGATCTGAAGGATTTATTGAGGCTTAATAATAATTTGATATATCACTGCCAACTTTACTAACGTATTTCTGCATTTAACAATTTTTTCTAGATCTGAAAATGAAGACTCTTGGCAATGCTAAAAGTCACAACCCCTTGGTTATGATAATAATTCAGTCCAAACTTCAACATGACACATATCTACTTTATGTGAACAAGTGTAATGCATCCAGCTCTCCGATAAAATAGTTATAACTACATCACTTTATTTCACAGAAATTCCTTGTTTACATACAGATACCACACAGATAACTAGTCAAACTGGAGATATGAAGTAAAACTCACACCTCCTGGAGGACAGTTTAACGCGTGTCTAATGGTGTAGAAGCAGCTCTGTTAAATTCTGATTTGTACTGTTTAAGTCTTGTTCAGTAAACAAAGGACGTCATCTATTTCAGAAGCTCCAGTAAAAAGGAGCTGTACAGTCGAACAACTTGTGAAATGAAGGTTTATGTAAATGAACACATGACTTGGTACTTTCACCATCCTTTTCTTGGTAGGAATACTCCTGCATTATCCTTTCATTCTCACCAATATCACTTCCAATTTCTCTCTCACACAATTTCATTCATATTATTGCTTTCTGTTCTCTATTTACAAAATCCTTTCATTCCAATATCTGTTCACTTCTTGGGTGGAGGTCTGAAAAACAAAACAAACAGAAAAACTGTTAAACACATAAAATTATTTTACATTTTTGAGTTTAACTGTCACAAATATAAACAAAGTTTAACTATATTGAAGTTGAATTGTCACAAATATAAACAAAGTTTAACTAAAGTTTAAATGTCACAAATATAAACAAAGTTTAACTAAAGTTTAAATGTCACAAATATAAACAAAGTTTTACTAAAGTTTAAATGTCACAAATATAAACAAAGTTTAACTAAAGTTTAAATGTCACAAATATAAACAAAGTTTAACTAAAGTTTAAATGTCACAAATATAAACAAAGTTTAACTATATTGAAGTTGAATTGTCACAAATATAAACAAAGTTTAACTAAAGTTTAAATGTCACAAATATAAACAAAGTTTAACTATATTGAAGTTGAATTGTCACAAATATAAACAAAGTTTAATTCATTTTAAAATATTTTTTCAAATACTACAAGCTCTATTTACGAAGACAGCATATTTAAATGGAGACTCAAACCTACCTGTACATGCCCACTACGACTGCGTGGTCCCTCTCGTAAGGCTCCAATGTCAGCTGTTCTGTTGGTTTAATCTTCTCTGCCTTTAGTTTATTGACCTCGCCAGCGAACACTGCCTCTGGTTCTGCTGTAGAGTCTATACAATTTGCCTGAATCATAAACGGTCGATATAATGAGGATTTCCATATAAATATATCAGAATATGAATAAGTAATACTTTGTAATTTTTACAAATTCATTGAATTCTAATCAATTAATGTTTACATGTCAGACACTAAGCCCATTCTTGGTAATAAGGCAGTTAAACTTTGTTTCACTTCCCCAAAGGATGCTTCTGACCATTTGGTTGAATTCCAACAAGTGCATATTTAAGGAAAAAAGCTAAAAGTCATGGATGTTGCATTATACAGTAAGCTCACTTGGCCCTTTCAGTCAAGTCTGCTAGAAATGTTGAAATAAAGTGAGTTTTGAGCACAGAGCCAATGCAATTGTCACAAAAAAACTTTGTTGTAGGTAACTGAGCTGGGTTCATTTTGAGGCATCTGGTATTTACCTCATTGAACTATTTATATCCGATATTATGTGAGTAAAGGCTCCCCCCAACCCCATACTAGCTGTGTAAGTGAGATACAGTACTTACCTTGATGGATATGACAATGTGTCCTTTGTCCTTGAGAAAGTTGTGTGCGTTGATAGCTACAATTCTTGCTTGATCTGGCTGGGCAACATCCGCAAATATCACGTCTACCATTCCTGTAAAAAAAAAAAAATACACTGTTTGATGTAACACTTGTGATGGAAAGTTCATGTATACATAAATCCTGTAAAACAAAATATTTTTGTGGGGCTTAATTTTTGTGGTTTTTCAAAAAATTACTATTTTGTGGACAACTGATTTAATGACAGTTATAACTCAGTAAGTCTAATTTTAACACTTTGAGGACATTCAAATTTGTGGAATAAAAGCACCCACGAAATGAACAAATATAACAAAGGACATCTTGTTATATCTTGAGACACTTTTGTCTTTCTTCACCCTTGCCAAAATACTGCTATTAATATGTTAAGACACTGACCATGTATTCTCTATATTAACCACACTGGTATATTTCAACATATGATGGTAAACAGAGAGGTTGTAGTTTGGCCTTACCCATAAGCATTCTGTACTTGTGTGGATGTCTCGCATCCTCTATGATGGGGATAATGTTCGTCCTTTTCTTTGCTACGTTAATGAGATCTCGTCCACTTCTGTGGGAGAATTCAACAGCGTACACCAACCCTTCCTGAAAATCATAACAATTTCTGTGAATTTCAAAACACACTACAAACATGGTTCTTACTAATTACTTTCAAAAATAGTTATTTTTTTAAATTTTGGTTCGGCCAACTGGAAAATTACAAAACAGTACTAAATATAAGAGACACAAAAATCACTCGTGAGTGAGATTGTTAATTTTATGGTTTCAAAGATTGAACTATACATACAGGGGTTATTTGTCTAGTCTATGAACTTTCCCCATAAAAAAGAATAAAAATGAAAATTTAATACATCCAGTTCTGCATCATGAAAACTCTTATTTACAAGTTGTGTGTGAGAGGTCTATTACATCATTTCTATCCATGGTTTGGGTTTCTATCATTTCTAACTAAATCATTAATCAAGGTAGTCCATCCCTTCTGATTTTATGGAATAAATCTCGATTAAATTACTTTTATTTTAATGGTAGATATACTTACACCACAATATATGCATAAAACACTTACGTCACTATATTACATTTACTAGAAGTACGTACTTATATAAGTACAAAAGAGGATGTACGACCCTTTACTTTCCCTGTGACAGAAGGATATCAACTCACCGGTCCTACGATATCAGACACATGACTGACTGTTGTCCCAGAGGCTGCTCCAAGATATAGAACTTTACTTCCAGGCTTCATGTGAATCTGGTCAACACCACCCAAAATGGCAGCAGCCAACTTTGATCTGAAGGGGTTCCAGGTTCTGTACTCTGTCTTGGTCTCGCCGATCTACAATAATATCAGAAGTGACATGGTACAGATAAACATAAGGACTATTCCAGTAAAACATCTACCCGACCCCAGGACTTCAATATATATCACTTTTATCCATGGCTTAGTTTACTGCCTATCATTTCTGAGTTAATTATTAATCAATTTCTAAATGTGGCACCAATACATATAACCTGGAGTGGGAGAGATGTTTTACTAGCACTTCCACCAAGGAAACTGTAACAAGCATATTGCTAAATGGTTGGTGACAGGTCTTTTCAATAAAGAAATCAGTGTTCAGCTGACATGAAGGGTTGGTCTTAACACATCCCTCTGTCTACTAGATATGTTGCAAGGACTGTAACAATACATTTCAGCTCTGACATGATGCACATCACGATACACACACCCTTCAATCTGCTTTTATCTGATACAATAACACAACTGACAGACGAAGTCTCATGACTTACCTCTGTACTAATCCTCTTCTCTCCGTAAACTGCTTCCCCCGGCACCATGTTCAGGGTTACCAAGGCATCCTCCTTCCCACGGGCAATGAAAACTCCTAAATGAAAACAATACAGGAGGTTTTTACATCCATTCAAGCAGCAATGAAAACACTACATAAAATTAGTGCAGGCTTTTACATTCTCCCCATGGGCAATGAAAACTCCTACATAAAATTCAAATTCAAAGAAGTGTGAAAAATGTTCAGTAATAAATGTCATATCGAGTAATAAAGCACTTCATAACAGATGATCCTGATTCATATCAATATCACAGTACCTTGATGTCTGTGAGGCTCCACAACTACAGTCTTGCCACCTCTCATTCCGCCACGGCCACCTCTACCTGTATTTAATATAATCATCAGTACAACTCAACAACAACTATTGACAAACAATGAAATCAATAGTACAGCAAAATTTAGCTTACCAAATCTCAATTTTTCATGACGTTTCCGCATAAGAGAAATTTCAGATTATTTCATTCACAAAATCATTTTCAAGGAAAAACAATCGATCAGTAGTGAATTTACCTCCTCGGCCTCCTCCTCCTCTTCCGCCTCTACCACCTCGTCCACGGTCACCAAATCCTCCTCTTCCCCCTCGACCTCCTCTTCCCCCAAATCCTCCCCGTCCTCCTCTACCTCCTCGGTCTCCTCCTCTACCCCCTCGGTCTCCTCCTCTGCCACCTCCTCCGAAGCCTCGACCTCCTCCGAAGCCTCGACCAGCCGGTGAAAAACCTGAAGAAAATATGCACCAATTACTTATCACTGTTAATACCAAACAAGAAAACATGTTTCCTGAAACATTTTTTTAATCTGACAAACAATTCCAGCATCAACTTTTCTTAGTAGTAAAATACTCATAAAAATGCCCCCCCCCCCCTCTCTCTCTCCAATCATACTAATACAATCATAGTAATAGTCATGAATAATCTTGTTTATTGACAATCTCTATGATCATAGCTAGTCTGTCTGAAACCGAAGCAGTGTTATTGATTTAAAACATTATTTGTATTTATTTTATAACGTTTTTGATAGAGCCAGCACACGCACCATAACTAATCTGTGACTGGCATGATCCATGGCATCCATTTGCCTTAAAATCAGAGGATAGTTAATCATGCTACACTAATCGTCGCGACTGAAATTATCAAAGAAATTATTGTTCAAATGAAAAATACTCATATGGTTTTAGATCACTCACCAGGACGTCCCATGTTTAATAATTTGTTGTCACGCTGCCCAGAATCTTTTAAAAACACGTGTTTCTTCTGTTGGATTTACCCACAGTTCTCTCCGAGAAAACTTCCGGTTAAAATAGGGGAGATAATTAAATAGGTTTGATATTGCAGCCCACGTGCATAGTAAAACATTGTGAACTAAATAAATATATTTCCCTTTTTGCTTATTTAGTTAGCTTCAAACATAATTGCTAATAATACATTAAAAATTAATTAAATACATTAGAAATCAATATCATATTCATAATGCAGTATTATGTGAGATACGTTTGAAATTTCATACGAGTTACTCCCCTCTAATGCGTGAAAAGAGTTTTGTAACAAATTGCAGTCTCAAGAATCCTTCTAAATTCTTTATAATTCATGACTGGAAACATTATATAACTCGCTCAGCTCTTGTTTTTCTATAAATGAAATATTGTTGAAAAATTGTCTGAACGTAACATCTCCAATTTATCATAAAACACAAATATCTTTATCATTTAGGCACCTAGAATATTCTACTAAAATCATTTTAAGATTAATTCTCTGACGACCCGCGTTCAACCGTCTTTATCGAGGGGTTGAGGGCTTGTCCAATGAAAGCTAATTGAGGGCAAGACTGCTAACACCCATGATTAACATTTCCGCACCGCTTGTATGAAAATACGAGTCTGGGTGCAATTTTTGGTAATTCTCGATATTGAGAAAGATAACGTGACAATAAGAAAGAAGGGAGATAACACTAACAAGCCAATCAAAGTCATGGTTTAGTTGTAAAATTGAGTCTGGATTATTTTCTTGTATTTTCGAAGACAAACAAATTTGATATGGGCAAACCCTTTTACAGTCTCCATGATTCGTTTTACTCTGTCATCTGATTCAAAAGGAATTATAAAAGATAAGATAAACAGCCTTACCGGAATGTCATCATTACCATGCTCTGTAATACCTTAGCATGTCATCCTTCCGATCAATGGCATTAACTAAGGTAGGATTTTTTCTACTAGGACCATTTTAACCAGGACCGACATGGCCAATAGCTTTTCATATTGGATCATAAGATTTACATTAAGACTTTTTTAATCTATGGTTATGGACATTGTTTCGCCATCAAAGTGGAAAACTTTCCGTATATATCAAGATTTAGCCAGCTGACGCAAAGCGTGACATTATCTCCTGCGCCCGCTGTTTAAATAAAAGCGCACAGTCATATATATGTTAATATTACAACAAGTTTAATTTCTATTTTTATTTTAAATTGTTCTGTACAAAGTATTGAAATAGAGAATTTCTACTAGAGTACTAGCTTGATGCCTGTACAAAGTTTTGAGTATCGGGTAATCAACTTGAACGATTTAAAAGAACTGGTCTGAAAAAACTGAGTTTGTGATTTGGCCTATCTGTTTCCATAACATAAAACGTATTTAAATGAAGAACTTTCCCATAGCAAACGATACTACAAGCTTAATAAGTGTAAAAAGTTTCGAGCAATCATCTTGAAAGGTTTCAGAGCACTGGTACAGAAAAATTGAAATTTGTGATGAGGGTTACCTAATTTTGTGTGGTTTTTTTTACTGTTTCCATGGTAACAGAAAAATATAGAAATGAAATGTCGTCAATAGCAAAACACACAACTAGGGCACTAACCTAATATATATACAGAAAATGTTGTGGAGTTGAGAGGCATGGTTTCAAGGTTGTATCCCGGAAATGCTTCCGAACAGAAGAACACATGCACGGACGGACGGACGGAGTCCAAATTAGTATCCCCCGCAAACGTGTTTCGTGGGGGGATATATAAAAATATGGATATTAATATCTTTATCAATTCATTATCCATGAACAAGATATCAGTGTGTAATACCAGGTTTTTTACCTAAATATTACCTGCCTATTATTTGTTATATTTATACATTTTCCTGATAAGTCAATGCCTCGTGATATTAATTTTAGCAAAAATGTTAAAGTCCCCAGTGTTATAACATATACTGCACATCCCACCAGTCAAAAGCCAAGAATCATTAGTGACGGAAAATACAGGAGGCCCCTAGGGGGGTTGGGGGTGGTTTAATGCCTGTTTGAGCATGTCTTTAATTTTGATGTAACACTTCCGGTTATGTATATTTTGCTATCGACTGTGTATAGTTTCGTTTGATTCCTAAAATATATCGTATGGAGCTATCATTGGATATTTTTATTAAATAAAAATGAAAAAAATCAAGGCCAATCTAAGATAATTTATGACCAAGTATATATCATTTGTTTTCATTAATCAGTGAAATTGAAGTATAAAATCGAGGAATTATTAAAACACATTTTCAGCTCAATCCGTTTTTTTATGACGTGGTATTCCAATATGCCCAGAGCCCAGCAAACTGCAATATGATGATTTAAGGTAAGACAGCAGTAGAGTTAAGGCATTTTCGATAGTTTTCTTTTTTCTTTTTAAAATCTAATTAAGATTTTCATTGATAAGACTTGTAAAACGTAAACATTACACTACATAATTGCTCTCAATACATTAGTCCTATTAGCTAAAATGTTTTCAAGGTATAAAGGTCACAGTTAGATTTAGTTGGATCTAATGGGGCCTGGGGGATGGGAAAAAGGAAGCTAAATTGAAAGAAAAAATAAATAAAAAGAAAAACGCTTCTTCTGGTTTGATATATACTTAGCACTGTCCAGCTAAAATCCTTTAGTGTCTATAAAAGGTGCGTAAATCTTGAAATCTTTACCTAATAGTCGCATGAAAAATTCTTCGTGGGGTAAAGTGTTCAAGTGATCAGCAAACTCCTTGCCGTAATTTTCTATGATCGATATCATATAATCAATCCTGAGACAATAGAAAATACTAATTCCGAACATTAGGACTCAAGGTTTGGTCGCTACGATCAAGCAATAATGATAGCAGGTAGTAATCTTCCCAATGACTAAAGACGTCGGTGGGATAATAGGACACATACAATTATATAGACCAATAGATATTTAGTAAAATAAAACCGTAATGATTTGTATACGACGTTCATTACTGGTGGTTTTGAATATCATTTTCACCAAAGAGTTATCAACTGAATTCATTAATTCACACGCTGATCAGAACTCTCCAATTCGCGTATATAGGGATCTGGAATAGGGATATTCATTTACCTTTAGGGAGCCCTCATCTCAAACGACCCCGATTTTTCAAGGGGCGATAACCCAGAAAATAAACATACAGGATTTATTAGCTGCGACAAAAATAACAATAAATGATTCCACAGGAGACATCAGGGATCAATTTAACATCTTAACTCTCGCGTGTCTTTAACTCCCTTTCTGGTCTTTTTTTCTGATTAGTCGAAAGAAATCTTACGCTTTCTGATTATCAAAGCCTACAGAACTAGTAAGACGGAGCTTCATAATAATGGCAATAATTATCTACGACTGTACCAGACAGGCCTATACGTGTAATATAACAGTCTATTTATCTTCTCACCTTTATCTAACGTTTTCCTCTAAAATTACTTGCGAAGACTCGCCTCGGTTTGAATGCGTGCAAATGTTTTTTTTTTATATTCGTCATGCGCCCAATCATATTCATTTTTCAACTCGAACACTGGAGTGGACGATTCTGTCTGTGATACTGGTAGCACTGTGTTGTTGTTACCTACAGATATATCACTGGAGTGGACGATTCTGTCTGTGATACTGGTACCACCGTGGTGTTGTTACCTACAGATATAACACTGGAGTGGACGATTCTGTCTGTGATACTGGTACCACCGTGGCGTTGTTACCTACAGATATATCACTGGAGTGGACGATTCTGTCTGTGATACTGGTACCACCGTGGCGTTGTTACCTACAGATATAACACTGGAGTGGACGATTCTGTCTGTGATACTGGTACCACCGTGGCGTTGTTACCTACAGATATATCACTGGAGTGGACGATTCTGTCTGTGATACTGGTACCACCGTGGCGTTGTTACCTACAGATATAACACTGGAGTGGACGATTCTGTCTGTGATACTGGTAGCACCGTGGTGTTGTTACCTACAGATATAACACTGGAGTGGACGATTCTGTCTGTGATACTGGTAGCACCGTGGCGTTGTTACCTACAGATATATCACTGGAGTGGACGATTCTGTCGGTGATACTGGTAGTACTGTGGTGTTGTTACCTACAGATATAACACTGGAGTGGACGATTCTGTCTGTGATACTGGTAGCACTGTGGTGTTGTTACCTACAGATATAACACTGGAGTGGACGATTCTGTCGGTGATACTGGTAGCACCGTGGCGTTGTTACCTACAGATATTACACTGGAGTGGGTAAGTCTGTCTGTGATGCTGGTACCACCATGATGTTTGCTACAGTCATTACACTGGAGTGGACGATTCCGTCGGTTATACTGGTACCACCATGATGTTTGCTACAGATATTACACTGGTGTGGACGATTTTGTCTGCGATACTGGTACCAATCACTTCTGCTGTATGCATAGTGGCTAATGTCACCTTGATTGCAGGACTCAAGACCCGTGGCGATTGGGATACAACTGATATCATTTTCTTTGCGTTGGCCATTTTGGATTGTCTTTTCGGGATATTCTCCCTTGTTGGAGCTTTTACAAGAATTCTGATATTCTTTGACCGTTCAACAGGCGAAGTTCTGTTTCCAATCATGATGGCAACGTTTCATTTTTTTCTTTACAACCTGCCGCCATTAATTTCAAAATCACTGACAGCATTGCTAGCATTAGAACGAACGATTGCTGTTTATTTTCCACAGAGTTTGAAATGATCTGGTCAAAACGTCGAGTGATAATCATGGTGTGGTGTTTAGTGATTTTGATACCAACATCAGGAATTCCAAGGATTTTTCAACTGAGAGGAAAAGTCCGCTATAACGATACAACCCCGTCAGCGTTCATTGTAACTCAGCTGGTAGGCAATAACGAAGACGTTTCGTTCCTTTATAATGTGGCCTACACTAACATATTTGGCACAGTACCAATATTCCTGGTATTCGTTCTTAGTCTGGCCACTATTGTTGGTCTTCGTAAGAATAACAAACGAATTGCTTCTGAAAGAAGAAACAAACAAATTGTGTGTGTACCCGATCAGTACAGATTGCAGACAGACTGGTCTTACGTCGTGACCAACATTAAAAAACCAACCCGATGCAGTTTTGGCTGTAAAACAACCCCATCATTTTCCTTACAGCAATGACAACCAGCCCTCTGTGACTGAAATTCCCAGTACCTCTGACCGTCACACGGGTTCTTCTAGAACGCTGCAAGCGTCTGTGGCAGAATCTTGCATCTCTGAGTCGAGAAGTGGCAGTAAAAGTAAGCAAGATTCCCTGTCAGTGAGTAAGAGTCACGTATCTGCGGTCATGAGAACAAATCCGACTACACATATAGATACGTCAGGAAATGGCGAAGAAAATGCCGCTCTTTTTACAAACCAAATGAAAACAATGAGAACGATTATCAGACAGGAACGTGTGAAACCATCATCCAGTGGTATGTTCACAACTCAGAAAAAGGTCACTGTCACTCTCGTTTTCATAGCTACTGTTTTTGTCGTTGTCAATCTACCTGAAGTAATAATAGAACTATTGTACATCCGAAATAGATTATTAACGAAAATACAAAAACATATTTTTCAGATTGGTGATTTTTACATTGGAATCGGTAAGT